CTTGTCCCAGCGCTCCAGGCAGCTCCACAGCCAGTCTGGGTTTACAACATGGAGGTCCTTGCAGTCCTGAGCTTGCCGTACTTTTTCTGTGCCTATTACAAAGTTAAACATAACATTAGAGCATTGCCAGAAACACAGAAGATAGCTTTATGTACATAGTGGTTTAAGAAGAATGTTTAAGATCAGTCTTACAGGAAAAAAAAGAAACATCCTCCCTAATCCAACAAAACAATCATAACTGATAAAAGTGAGACTAAGTAAAATGTGATAACCTCAGTCTCAAGCTGCAGGAAGGTATTTGTAACTTCCTGAAGCACTGACATTGTGGAAGTAGTCCACTAAAATTTATGCATATGGACATCTCCATGTTAACTGAACGAACAATATAAATGGAATACAAAAGTGCATTTATCTCCTTCATTTCTATTTGTCAGAGTCCAAGCAGCAGTGACTCTTCAATGCCATTAAAGCCTAACACTAACTTATCATACTTTCTTACGCACAGTCCCCTGTACGCATGGTATGCTACCTTTTAGCAGCCAGCCACTCAACCTCCATTTGCCAGAAGCAGGGGCAAAGCAGACAAATGGATTATTTCATGCCAAAGGGGAACAATGAATGCAATTTAAATGTGGCAAGCTAGCACAAAGTACACATGAAACCATCAACAATGCAGCGTGCAAGTGACAGGTGATCTCAAATTCCGCCGTCTGGAGAAGCCAGAACAAGAGAGAAACTCAGTGAAGTTGCTGTTAATCTTTGCCAAGAAGCACCAAAACCAGTAAGCAAAAAGAAGTGAATAAAAAAAAAGGTTGAAATTAATGTTTAAGTGTAGTCTGCTCCCAGAAACAGCTGACTCTCCAACTGTTCCAAGATTATATTCCTTCTATTTGATTGCAAAAATTAATTTTACCAATCGTGGTACTTGTTTCAAAGAGATCTACAGAGGGACTAAACACTTGGAGACAACACAAAATTATACAATCTGCCAATAAATCACTAAATATATACGCAATAGAGAAAAACCCCAAGGATTCTGACCTGATATAGCCATGCTTGACACTTACACATGGTATTTTTACACTGCACAAATACTAGCGTAGCTGGAACGTGATAAAGGAACTCTCGTCAATCTGACGGTCTGTCTCA